GAGGCGCCCCCCGCTGCAGCCACCGCCAGCTCCGAGCAAAGCGTGGCCGTCAAAGAGTAACCCACCCCACCGGGACAGCCTAGCCAGAACCGACGAGGCCACTTGCAAACGACCTGTCTCACGCTCTCTCTGTCTCTCACTCTTGTCCTCTCTCTGTCTCTCTATCCTATAACTAACTCGTTTCAAATTGGAAGTCAGGATATGTATTGCCCAAGGGATTAAAAAGAAAAAAACAGGAAAAGGAAAAAGGAAGAAAAATAATAATAAAATAAGAGGATGTGTCCCATCAGGGGAGGGAGGGGGTGGGGAGAATCCAAATAGTATTTTTGTGGGGAAATATCTAATATACCTTCAGTCAACTTGACCAGTCAGTCCTGGAGTTTAGAGATCACTGTCTGAAAGTACATCGTTTGTACCTGAACCGCTGTCCCCTGGCGCTCCACCCCAAAAATCCCAACATCTTTCCTGCCATGCAGCTGGGGAGGGTAGCGTTTGATTTTGCCCACAGGGCCAGTGCCAAGGCAATCAGATCTTTATGAAAGCAGTATTTTCTGTGTTTCCTTTTTAATTTACAGCCTTTCTTATTTTGGTATTTTTTTTTTAACGTTGTGGATGAATGCCAACTTTCAGACGGAGCCCACTTAGCTTGTCCACATGTATCTCGACACCAACCCTCCATTCTTCCTCTCCAGATATTTTTGGGAGTAACAAACATTCTCTCATCATACTTAGCCTACCTAGATTTCTCATGACGAGTTAATGCATGTCCGTGGTTGGGTGCACCTGTAGTTCTGTTTATTGGTCAGTGGAAATGAAAAAAAAAAAAAAAAAAGTCTGCCTTCATTGCAGTTCCAGTTTTCTGCCGTCTGTGTCACAGACACCAACACACCACCCATTGGAAAATGGAAAATAAAATAAAAAAACAAAAAATAAAAAAAATGTACAATGGATGCATTGAAATTATATGTAATTGTATAAATGGTGCAACAGTAATAAAGTTAAACAATTAAAAAGTAGCGAAGACTGTTGGCTTTCTTTACCCTTACTTGTCTGTAATGGGTGCTTTTCTTTTCTCAATATGAGTGAATGAAGGCAGGAAGCAGGAACTTAAGTCTTCTTGACTGTTGTCTTTAGAAACCAAACAAGCCACCACAAACAATGGCGTCAATGTGCAGTTCCGTCATGCTGTAAGGTGAACAGGGGAAAGTTCTATGGATTCCCATTCAATGATAGGGCAGATGTAATTATTAATACTTTAAAAGAGCGAATATTTTGAATGAAACATCAAATGACACCTAAGAGCTGTCTCTTGAAGGCTGGGAAGAAAAACTTGATCTTATAGGAACATCCTATGTGTGTAAATTGTGAAGCCATGAACTAGCATCTGCCTCTGCCGCTCCGCCCCCCCCCCCCCCCCCCCCCCCCCCCCCGCCCCCTCTGCTCTTCAGCTTAAATGATAGCAGAACAAGGCAAGGGATCAGGAATACCATGAAGGTAATGGGATAGCCATCAAGAGAAAGCTGCCTGCATGCCCTTCTGCTGCTAGTGGCTTCCACCTTCTCCAGATCTCCCTCTCTTTTGTTTCAAGGGACCATAAACCTTGTGACCTCTAAGTCAAGAACGTTGTGATAGCTGAAATACGTAGAAGTGCACATACCAGAGAGCCATCTTTACCACGGGGTAGTGACCACCTGTGTGCTCAGGGACCCCCTTTCTGCATGTAGAACAGAGGCTGGAGGATGGCGGCTTCTGTGCAGAGTCAGTTCTTGAGAGTAAGGAAAAGCAGCGACTGTCTCTTGGATCTCTGAGAGTAATTTTCCAATCCGATAATAGAAATGACTTTTCATAAAGAAGCCTAGCCACTGTAAAGATTTCTCAGACGAAAATCAGAGAAATGCCCAGGAAAATGAATAACAGTTTCATATTTCCAGTGCCACTTAGACGGTTTCCTGTAGAATTCGCGGAGGCCATGGACAGTGCAAGATGCTGTGGTTCTGAATTAGCCTGGCTCCATTCCTGTGGGCTACACAAAGAGGAAAGAGATCCTCCCCAGATATTTTCTGAGTATCTGGAACCAGTACCCGACTTGGAGAAACAGAAATGGTGATATTGAATTAGTTAATGTACCTTTTAAGTACATGCCCTTGAACATGTGTAGCTCTTGGGGTTCCTGTTTTTATAAATGAAATAAATTTGAACTCTTAATGCATGAAAGAACAGAACACATGAACTATGTAAAAACATTAATCACCTGACAACTGTTTTAGGTAAGAATAGTGGGGGTGGAGAGGGTGTCCAGAGCATGACCAGTTGTCCTAAATTATATAAAATCAGGTGGGGGTGGGGTATTAGGGAGGTGACAGATTCAACAAGCTATGGAAGACATTTCTAAAACTGCAGACTATCTTTAAAATCAAAAAGAAGACTTATTTTTTTAAAAATCAATTATTTTTTATTGATGACTGCAAAGCAGTTATGAATATTAAATGGCATTCATTTATTGCAATAAAAATGCTTGGTGGAAGTAATATTTAATAGATTCACTTTCTCCTCCCACCATTTTAATTAAAATGTCCACAGGCTTTTTGGGTGAGAACAATCAACTTGAGCTCTCAGGGTAATATTTATCTTCCTAAGTTCCTGGATGGGATAAGTGAAATAAGGAGACGTATTTCATTTTATGTATAGAGTTGAAGGATGTTGGTATAAGACCATTCAAATCTCTTATTTTCTAACCATTATCTCATACATGACATTTAATTTTATCATTCTTTAAAAATGCTTGAAACTGATATATTCAGCAGAAAACCTAGGACATGGGAATGACTGTCTCTGATAGGAAGGGCATAATGTCGGGTATTCACATTAAATTGGGACTAACCTAGCTTCTTCCTTCCTTAATCACATAAAGTGAAGGCACATCAGTGCATAGGCTGTATAAAGAAAGTCCCAGCTGTCTGTGAACTTCTCATGTTTGCTTCATTAACTTGGCCATCAAAATCTTTTCTGAAGCATGAATGGCTCTAGGGCTCACGTTCGTTAGATGTTTGTGTGTATCTTGACGGGGGCGGGGGCGGGGGGGGGAGTGAATACGAATCAAAATGAGTGTTTCCAAGGTTGCTGGGTTTGTTCTTCCTCTTTGGTGGTCCTACCTGGTAGCTGATGTTACCTCTGAATGTTGGTGGTAGATGCAGGCCCACAAGAGCTGGGTGATGGCTTGCATCTTGGGACCCTCTGATGTGACCTCAAGCTTGGAGGAGGTCACCCTTAGGCAACTTCCAACCATTGAAGGAGGAGGAACTTAGAAAAATGCAGGGACATTCTTCAGTTTCTTGGAGCCTCTTTTGCTTTCTAGACTCAAGACCCAGGCTGGATAGACCATAAGGACATGGTTATCAACTACCTGACATGGTCTAGACATTCTCTGGCTGTCAAATTTGGGCAAGCTATTAGGTTCTAGATACCCAGATGCCCAGAGTCTGCTTTCCTTGAGCATCCCGGAGCTTTAAACTTCATTGAGTAACCTAGCATAGCAAACTGGAACACAGGTTCATTACCGAGACACACAACACTGCAACTTACGTTCATCACCAAAATTGGCCTTGAGTGGAACATCTGTTTTATATGATTCCTTTCTAGATGTCAGAGTTTGACATACAGCAAATTACAGTTATTTATTGGGAAAGAGATCTATTTAGAAAACTGACTAAACTTTCAATTTTGGTTGTTACCCAGTCTCTTAAGATTGTGGAGATCCACTGCCATCATTTTGATTTGGTTCAGCCTTTCAACAATAACATTGCAGATGTATTTCAGTTAAGATTTATTTTAACTAATTTGCACAATGTTGAAAACTGGATTCTCAGGGGATAACCTTAAAATTTTACAAGATAGCATCATTATAGTGGTTTTGGGATTCATCCTAGGAGTATTTTTTTTTTTTTTTTTTTGACACAAACATACTATACAGTCCTGGTTGGTCTGGAACTCATCATGTAGATCAGGCTAGCCTCAAACTCAGATATCTGCCTGCCTCTGACTCCCAAATGCTGGGACTAAAGACATGTGCCACCATGCCCCACTGGTAGGAGTTATGGTTTTGCTTCGTTTGAAACTGTCAGTAGTTTTTTTTTTTTTTTTTTTCCTCCAAGCACTTGATATTTAAAGTATTTAGCAATGGCTGGCTCTTTAACTAGGGTGTCATTCTTTCAAAACCATATCTGCTAATGGAGAAGGGAAAAGAACATTATAGAAGGTTTTCATGACAACTTGGTGAGTCATTAGTTCTAAAGTAAGCCATTATTCACCATGAGATTATATGCTTTCTGACTCTTTAAGGACAAAAATTTCAGTATATGAAACGAGTATATAACATCTCATAGCCTGGCTAGGTCAGTCCATTCCTCCTCATTCTAGTCTCCATGTTATTAAGAGCCGTTTCCACTCTGGAGCCTTTTGTTTCCAACCACATCTGTATTCAAGGAGATTCCTAGAGAGAATTTGATGGAAAAGAACACAGTGGGGTGGGGGTGGGGGGAATCCTAGTGTAACTGTATTCATGAAAACAAA